GGACTGTGTGGTGACGTTGTGATCCACCCTGAGCTTGCTTTGCTTTGCTTGACTGGTCTTGTGACCTCTTGTTCTCCCCCACTTTGCCTATGGGGGTGTGTCAAACTCATATGCATATAGTCTGTGTACATCACAAGAACCCTATGCCAAGTTTGGACGAATTTTGATTTCGATTGTCTCCGCGTGAAAAAATCTGGAGCCAATTTGGACCGACGGTTGGAGTCATTTGATAGGAGCTCCGAGACACATCTCGCGACAAGGTTTGGCTCGGTTCAAGTTCCAATTTGGCACGCGAGCTTTTCCGGATGACATTCGGGCGCAATCCGTTTTGTTGCAAATTCGTGACCAAATTATTCAAAACTAAATTCTGCTTTTGTTCATTTTGGATATTGAGGATTTCAAAATTGCATTTATTATTGCGGTTTACAAGAACCATTATTCAGCATTCTAGCAACAAGCAGTCTTAGCACCAGGTCAAATAGCCTATGCACTGGCGGGCCTTGAAAGCGCCCGGTGGGCAAGGACGACATCTCCAAGGTCGCCGTCGTCGATGAGGAACTTGTTCGGAAAGACGAACGCACCCATAGCCGGATCGTGGGGGATCCTCCGCTCCACGACAGCTAAATGGATCATCTGTTTGACCTTTTCGCACCACTCCTGGTAGTCTGGCCTGTTATGCTCCGACTGACTACTGATTCGCTTGCGACGCTTATCCTGCAGAAGGGGCCATTCGATCTGCAATGTGGTGGAGGGTTGGTTTATGAGGAGGGTAGGTTACGGGTAAATGAGGCAACTGAAAGCGGTGATGCAGTCGTCACTATCTTCGTATCTGCAAAGGCCTAATCGACCAGGGTTTTAGCTGAAGTACAGGCAAGGGGTTAAGGGGATGAGGCATGGGGGTACAAACACATATCTACATCCTTACCGAAAACAGGCCCCATGCCACCATGCGGCTCTTGAACTTGGTGAACACCGCCCCGCCCCTCTTGAAGGAGAGCTTGAACGCATAAGCAAACAAGGGGTTGCTGAAGGGTGTCCAGGTGGCCTTGTCAAAGTGCCAGTTGAGGGCCCACTGTTCTGCTTTTTGGCAGGGAGGGTATGGGTTGGAAAGGGTTTTGTAGAGAAATCAAATGGGGGGATGAGAGTCAGGGTGAGCCACATCGCACGGTGATATGTAGCTGCCAAGGGGCATATGGTAGGGCATATTGTGTTTTCGAGTTGCACTGCACATACCATCTCTGTACTCGGCTAGGAGTTGATCGTCGTCGAACCAGGTTGTTGGGTGTAGCTCAGTGGGCAGGCTATCCACGAGATGGCTGTAATCGGCAAGGCCCATACCGGTGTATGCTGCTGGCCTGAGGGTGGAGTTGATAGTTGACCTTGTTGAGGACAGCTGGTGGTTGAAGACTCCCATGGTGGACTTGTCATTGTGCAACCACAGCAGCTTCATTGCCTCGAGCCCTTCTGTAGACAAGTGGACAGAGAACGCTTCGAACACTTCCTCCGGTGCAGGGTAGTACTGTATTTTCTCCGGCGGGTTCAGAAACATGAGCTGAGAGCACACTAAGTAGGCTTTGTTCTGCGCAGGGGTGTAAGGTATACAACACGACATGGAAGAGAGAAACCAGCAGTTATGAGGGTGGCCGCGTGACCATGGGATGGTGACTAGCAACACTGTTTGAACTTGCCACGTCACACCCTGCGCCATCCGACACGTCCACCAACAACCCGGCCCACTTGCTACGTCACACCCCCCTACCACAATCCACGTCACCCCCCACACACATGACACGCCTTGCTTCGTCATGCGTAGTGGTCACGTGTACCATTTCTAACCGCCACGTCATCCCCAACCCTCACCTTCCGCCACGTCACACCCACCTGCATCCGCCACGTCATCCCCAACCCTCACCTTCCGCCACGTCACACCCTCCTTGTCCGCCACGTCCACCAACCAGCCCCACGTGCCACGTCACACCCTCCTGCATCCGCCACGTCCACCAACAACCAGCCCCACGTGCCACGTCACACCCTCCCACCCCATGCCACGTCACCCCCCACCCACCTGACACGCGTCGCCTCGTCACGCGCCGCTCCCGTGTACCATTCCAAACCGCCACGTCAGCCCCAACCCTCGCATTCTACCACGTCACACCCTTTTGCATCCGCTAACAACCCGCCCTACTTGCCACGTCACACCCCCCACCAAGAGCCACGTCACCCCCCACCCACCTGAAACGCCTCGCGCCGTCATGCGGCACTCCCTTGCACCCTTTCACACCGCCACGTCATATCCCAACCCTCACCTTTTGCCACGTCACACCCAACCCGCGTCCGCCACGTCCACCAACAACCCGCGCCACTTGCCACGTCACACCCACCCACCCCATGCCACGTCACCCCCCACCCACCTGATACGCGTCGCCTCGTCAAGCGCCGCTCCCGTATACCATTCCAAACCGCCACGTCAGCCCCAACCCTCACATTCTGCCACGTCACACCCTTTTGCATCCGCCAACAACCCGCCCTACTTGCCACGTCACACCCCCCACCAAGAGCCACGTCACCCCCCACCCACCTGAAACGCCTCGCGCCGTCATGCGGCACTCCCTTGCACCCTTTCACACTGCCACGTCATATCCCAACCCTCACCTTTTGCCACGTCACACCCAACCCTCATCCGCCACGTCCACCAACAACCCGCGCCACTTGCCACGTCACACTCACCCACCCCATGCCACGTCACCCCCCACCCACCTGATACGCGTCGCCTCGTCACGCGCCGCTCCCGTATACCATTCCAAACCGCCACGTCAGCCCCAACCCTCACATTCTGCCACGTCACACCCTTTTGCATCCGCCAACAACCCGCCCTACTTGCCACGTCACACCCCCCACCAAGAGCCACGTCACCCCCCACCCACCTGAAACGCCTCGCGCCGTCATGCGGCACTCCCTTGCACCCTTTCACACTGCCACGTCATATCCCAACCCTCACCTTTTGCCACGTCACACCCAACCCGCATCCGCCACGTCCACCAACAACCCGCGCCACTTGCCACGTCACACCCACCCACCCCATGCCACGTCACCCCCCACCCACCTGATACGCGTCGCCTCGTCACGCGCCGCTCCCGTGTACCATTCCAAACCGCCACGTCAGCCCCAACCCTCACATTCTGCCACGTCACACCCTTTTGCATCCGCCAACAACCCGCCCTACTTGCCACGTCACACCCCCCACCAAGAGCCACGTCACCCCCCACCCACCTGAAACGCCTCGCGCCATCATGCGGCACTCCCTTGCACCCTTTCACACCGCCACGTCATATCCCAACCCTCACCTTTTGCCACGTCACACCCAACCCGCATCCGCCACGTCCACCAACAACCCGCGCCACTTGCCACGTCACACCCACCCACCCCATGCCACGTCACCCCCCACCCACCTGATACGTGTCGCCTCGTCACGCGCCGCTCCCTTGTTCCCTTCGAAACCTCCACGTCAGCCCCAACCCCGCCCTTGTTGCCACGTCAACCCCAACCCTCCCCATGTGGCCCGCCACATACCGGGAATGGGTTTGTCTCCTGCAACACTAGCACTCGTGCCTTGTCCACGGTGCTCATCGGCGGTGGGGTACCAGCCATAGGCAGGGCTGCCGACCCGCCGGCATAGCTGGTAGGTACTCCACGACGCAGGCCGAGCTGTGCAAACATGGCGTACATCTCAGACCGCAGCGCCTGGAACTCCTCCCGTGTAACAAACTGCTCGTGCTCCGCACTTTCACCTAGGGCACCCATGAGCGGAGGAAAAGGGTGTGAAGAATCCCCCCTCTGGCCAAGGGGATCAACGTCTTCTGCAGCAGTCCCACGTGCCCTCACACTATCATGCTGGCGGGAAAAGGGGAGCTCAGGGAAGGGATTGGCATAACTGCCTGCCTGATGCCCGCGCGAAGGATCAGCGAGAGGGGAGACCGCCCTGCCCCGGACAGGAGAAGCATGGAGTTGCCGAAATTGGTACGAGGGTGAGGCGAGTGGGGACTGCGTGACGGGGGCGGGTGGAGGGGATTCGGATTCCTCTCCTCTTGGCGCGCCTGGTGCCGTCGCAGCGACGTTGCTCGGGCCGGCCCATGGCGTGTAGTACCTTGGTGCTTCGGAGGAGAGAGGTGTAACACTCACTCTTCTGGCAGCCTTCGTTAGATGCATTCGTTGCACGCTTACATGCGGCCCAATGCCTGTAACGCGAGGGGCTGAGATGTAGAGGGAGCCGGAAAAAAAAATAGAGTCGATCGGTTTCAAGGCGGGGCTTGACATGCATGCATATTCAGAAAGGTTTGAATCTAGATCGGGTTCAGGGTTGTACTGGTTTGAGACAAGAGGCTTTACCTTGCTTGGCAGATTCGTCGACCTTCTCCTTCCCTACATGGGAGAAACAATGTGAAAAAAGGGTGTTTTTTGGCACGGTTTAGCAGATGGTTCAACACGTCACACCAGTTTTATTGGACACAATGCTCACCTTTCTGCTGTCCCTTCGGTTTTGGGGCAGCCTGCGCCTTCTCATTGCCACCTTTCCGCGGGGTGCTTTGGCGGACGCTGCGACGTTTACCGGCAGGTTCTTTCTTGCTGGTACCCACTGGAACCCCTTTGGCGCGGCCACCATTTCCTCCTCCATCCCCTTTTGCTCCCTGGCTCCCTTGCTTTTTACCAACCCCTTCACTTTCGACCTTCACCTTACGCGCCTTCGGTTTGCCCGATGCTTGGCCGCGCGCTGCGTCAACTGCCCCGCGTTTTCGGGAAGGGCGAGTCCGGCCCCCCTCCTTCCCTGTACCACTCACCCGTCTGCCACGCCCGCCCCGTCCCTTCACTGGCGCCACATCCTCCTCCTCCTCCTCCTCCTCCTCCTCCTCCTCCTCCTCCTCCTCCTCCTCCTCCTTTGCCTCCTCCTCCTCCTCCTCCTCCTCCTCCTCCTCCTCCTCCTCCTCCTCCTCCTCCTCCTCCTCCTAATCCTCCTCCTCCTCCTCCTCCTCCTCTGCCTCCTCCTCCTCCTCCTCCTCCTCCTCCTCCTCCTCCTCCTCCTCCTCCTCCTCCTCCTCCTCCGCTGCCTCCTCCTCCTCCTCCTCCTCCACATCCTCCTCCTCGTCGACACCCTGCTCCTCCTCCTCCTCCTCCTCCTCCTCCTCCTCCTCCTCCTCCTCCTCCTCCTCCTCCTCCTCCTCCTCCTCATCTTCATCCTCCTCTCCCTCCGCATCCTCCTCCTCATCCTCCTCCTCCTCCGCATCACCGGGGTCTTCATCGCCCCGTTTTGGCTTTGTTCCCATCGCTGCTTTCTTGCCTCTCCTTCCGCCAGATGCTTTTCTTGCTGCGGGTCGGCCCTTTTGGCGCAATGCTTGACCACCCGCCTTGCCACTAGCTTCCTTGGCGCCTCGCGGTGTCCCAACTGCCGCGCCTCCGGCGTCGTAAGCACTACATGTCGTCTGCCGCCTCTTCGCCCGCGTAATGAGGTCCCCGGGCATGGCGGTGTCATAATCGTCCTCCCCATCGCTCTTCCTCTGCCTACGCCTCCCCCGTCCACCAGAAGGTGGAGAGCCACCGACCAGCCCAACCGACTCGTGCTCCCCCACCTTGTCCTTATCCAGCACGGCTGCAGAAACTTCGACCACGGTCGGCTGGAGCAGCGTCAGATGGTGTTGCGTTGCCGCCGCCTCGGACTCATTGGTTGCGGCATGCTGGACGCAGGGATTGCCTCCGTGATTTCCCTCCGTCGCCGATCCCTCCATCTCCGCCGACGGGAGTGCAAGACTCGCGCTCCCTCGCCCCGGATCTTCGTTGCCGCCAGTGGTGCCGTCTTTACTCGGACCGGGCTCGGTTCCAGCAGAGCCAACATCCGCATCTTTGTTCACGGTAGAAACACGCTTGCGTGGCGTTGGTTTAGGCCCCTTGTCTTCCGCTTTCTTGCCGGCCTCCTGTTGACCGCGCACAACCTTTTTTGCCGGCGCTTTTTTCTGCCCAATGCCACGAGCGACGGACGCATTAGTTTTTTTAGCGCCGCCACCACACTCCCTATCGATTTGTTCAGACGTCCTCCTGGTCGCGCGGCGGCCAGGCTGTTCCTCCTCCATTGCTTGGTTACGTGTTGCACGTGTCATGGTAATTGTAGGAGGAGCAAAGTTGCAAATCGCGCGGAAGTGTTGAGTGTGAGAATGAGAACGAGAATGAAATGACTATGAATGAAATGAGTACATATAGGAAACCCTAATTGGGTTGTACCCCCTATGGGATACCCCACTATAGCCTACACAAATAAGTAAGCTATAATGTTCTGACACACCCCCATAGGCAAAGTGGGGGAGAACAAGGGGTCACAAGACCAGTCAAGCAAAGCAAGGCAAAGCTCAGGGTGGATCACAAAGTCACCACACATTCCGAGCACAAGTTCAAAAGCCAAAAGGCCAGTTCACATGCAAGATCACATATATAGGTATACAACAGGCTAAGCAAACAAGAGCAAGAGTATATATATGTGACAGTACAAGCAAGGTCAAGAAGTGAGCAAGTGAGGCAAGACAGGCACAAGACCCAACTGAGTGCAGAAGCGCTCATGATCACAAGGCGCAAGTGCCTTGGTGAAGACATCAGCAGTGTTGGCCTCAGAGGCCACGTACGCAAGCCGCAACTGTCCACGCTGCTGTAGCTCACGAGCAAGAAAGTAGCGGAGAGCAATGTGCTTTGTCCTGTGCTCCAGTCGCTGCTCTCGACACAAGGCCAGCATGGCCTTGTTGTCTACGTACAGGACTGAAGGAGAACGAGGCGGCTCTCCAAGGTCGGTCAGCAAGTAAGTGAGCAAGCGAAGCTCCTGGGCAGCCATAGCCCCGGCGTAGATCTCAGCCTCACAACTGGAGCCGAGAACAGAAGACGAGCGGGTAGCCCGCCACAAAACAGAGCCGGAACCAAGACTGAAAGTGGAACCCTGTGACGACCGCTGCGTAGCCTGGTCGTCAGCCCAAGAAGCGTCCGCGTTCCCAGTAAAGACCACTGGACTCTGCCCTCCAAGAACAAGCCCCATGCCCGACGTACTGCACAAGTAGCGCAACACCCTCTTCGCTGCAGCCATGTGCTCTGGTCGGTGTCTCCCAGGAGCAACATAGCGTGCGAGAATGCTAAGAGGGTATGCAAGGTCAGGTCGAGTGCAGGTCATCAGGTACATGAGGCAGCCAACAAGCTCTGGATACGGGCCACTTGACTCTACGGACTCATCCGAAGGCAGAGGTGAGAGCGAGTGGCGAGTAGACAGAGGAGTGGCCTGAGGCGAGGAGTACGTGAAGCCGAAGCTCTGAAGGACCTGCTGCACCATGTGTGACTGAGTCAGGGTAATGGTGCGGCGTGCTCTGTCCCGGGTGATCTGCAAGCCAAGGTAGCTGCGCAGTTCACCCAGGTCAGTGCACGTGTGTCTCTTCTGCAGCTCGGACTTCACGTAGGCGAGTCCCATAGTGTCAGCAGTGGCAAAGACCAAGTCGTCGACGTACACGAGGATGTAGAACGGCGGCAGAGAGGTGTCGGTGCGCAGAAACAGCGACGGGTCGGCAGTAGAAGGAGCAAACCCAAGTGCCGCTAGCGTAGTCCTCAGTGTGTCGTGCCACTCACGTGGCGCCTCGCGGAGACCGTAGACTGGACACCGGAGACTCCACTGGGTACCAGGAGGGAAAGACCCCGTGAAGCTAGGTGGGCAGCGCAGCCAGATCTCCTCGTGCAGGCTGCCCTGCAAGAAATCAGTGCTGAAGTCGAGAGAGTGCAGCTCGTAGTCACGGTGAGCAGCAATGGCAGCAGTACCCGAAGAGTGGTCATCTTTGGGGTGGGGGAGAAGGTCTGAAAGTAGTCAACTCCCTGCCGCTGACTGAAGCCACGAGCCACATAACGCGCCTTGAAGATAGGCGGAGAACCCGGCGGCCGCTTCACCCTGAAGATCCACATGCCACTGACGATGTTCGCCCTAGGAGGGGGGACAGCGTCAACGTAGGTGCCTGTGGACTTCCAGGAAGCCATCTCTGCATCCATAGCTGCCTGCCACTAAGAGGAGTAGGGACCCTCTATCGCCTCCGCGTAAGAGCGCGGAGTCGGGATGTCAAGTGCATCCGGGTCTCCCTCAGGGGTGAGCAGTACGACTACACGAGATGACGTGAAGCGGCGGCCAGACACTAGAACTCCTCCTGCCTATCCTCAAGGACGTCCGTGCCAAGGGCACACTCACCCCCGACGGACGGAGGACAGGCAGACTCAGACTCAGCGACAAGGCTAGCAGCGCAGTCTAGACGACAGCGAGCAGCAAAGTCGACGAGCTCAGTGACAAGGGCAGACGCAGCAGTAGACTCGAAAGAAGGGTCAGTGACGGCAGTAGCAAGGAGACGCATGACAGTAGGACTGGCAGCACGAAGAGAGTCCGACTCCGGGTCGGCAAGAGCAGGAAGAGAGGACTCAGGAGGAGAAGGCAAAGGGGCACGCATAGGAGCAGTAGACGGACGCAGAGACATCCTGTGCGTGCCAGGGACAGGAGGAGGACGCTGACGCGAACCGCGACCACTAGCGCGCGCAGCACGAACAGGCGACGCAGGACGAGACGCAGGCTCACGACGCTCAGTAAGACCTCCAGTAGGACCAGCGTAGGGAGAAGGAACAGGCAAAGGGGAGGCAGGCTACAGCTGTGAGTGTGACTGGACAGGCTGTGGACCCTCTAAGGAAGGAGGAGGAGGACCAGGAGAAGGTGTAAGACCAAGAACCTGCTGCAGGAGTGGAACGAAGTACGGTCGGGGCCGCATGGCGACGCGAGAAACAGCAGGGACAGTACCAGTACTCCCCGCAGGAGAACCCGCTCCAGCAGCACCTCCAGCAGCACCTCCAGCAGCTCCAGAACCTCCAGCAGCACCAGGAGCACCGCCAGCCGGACCGCCAGTGGTAGTCCCAGCGCCAACACCCTCAGCAGCACCAGCTCCAGTCGAACCCGTAGGCCCAGCAGCTCGAGTACTCCCCGTACGAGCACCTTCGGGACCCGCGACAGCAGCACCCTCAGTAGCCGAAGAACCTCCAGCACCAGCAGCACGCCTCCAGCGCCGAGCAAACCACTCACGCAGCTCCTGTGGGGAGAGTGGCTCTCGGCGAGACGAAGCACTCGGAGAACCTCCAGGCGAAGAACCCCCAGGCTCAGCACCCCCAGGCAAAGCACCTCCAGTCTCAGCACCCCCAGGCTCAGCACCCCCAGGCTCAGCACCCCCAGGCTCAGCACCCCCAGGCTCCGCACCCCCAGGCTCCGCACCCCCAGGCTCAGCACCCCCAGGCCCAGCACCCCCAGTCTCAGCACCACTAGGCTCAGCACCCCCAGTCTCAGCACCCCTAGGCTCAGCACCCGCAGCAGCACCAGAGTCACTAGTGACCTCGACAGGCTCGACCACGTCTACCTGGGACACACCTGAAGGGGCAGGACCCTCAGGGGGAAGAGCGGCTACCGGGGGGGGACCTGGTACCAAGAAGAGCGAGGGGTGAGGGGAGGGACGGAGTGCGGTAGGGGAAGAGGCGGTAGTAGGGTACCGACTCGTCGAACGTGACGTCCTGAGAGGACAGAACACGGCGAGAGGTGGGGTGGTAGAACTGCCACCCAGGGGCGTCGGGGGGGAACCCCAGGAAGACGCAGGGAGCAGCGCGAGGGGACAGCTTGTCCGCAGACAAGTCGCGGACAAACGCCCGAGATCCCCAGACCCGGAACGCCGACGCATCGCCAACCCTCCCCGTCCACAGCAGGGCTGGGGAGGTCTCCGGCCTGGAGACCCTGGGGTGGAGGTTGATCTGATGCGCCGCGTACCTGACCGCAAACGGCCACAGAAAATGGGGGGCAGCCGCATGCATCATAGACGTACGAGCGACGTCCATGACCATGCCAATGCGGCGCTCTGCAATCCCATTTTGCTGCGGTGAGTCCGGAAGCGTGAAGGTCTGACGGATGCCTCGCGCACGACAGTAGGCACGCAGAAGGCCAGAGGAGAACTCTCCGCCTCTGTCCGAGTGCAGACGCAACACAGGAAAGTCCGAGCCAAAGCTCTGCCTGAGCTGGAGACGAGCTGCGCGGATCTAGTCGATCAGCACCTCAGTGACATCACCCTTGCTGCGCAAGGGGAAGACTGTGGTGTAACGCGAGTAGTCGTCAACCACCAACAGGAAGTAGCGCTCGTGACCTTGTTCACGGACGCGGGTAGGGCCCCACACGTCAATGTGAAGCGTCTGCAACGGAGCCTCTGTCGGAGGGAACTGGGAGGAGTGAGGGGCAGCACGCTGGCGCCCCTCGACACAGGGGACACAGGCAGGGCCAGGGCCCTGAGGAAGGGGAGGGAGGGACCGGGGGAGACCAGACACAAGAAGACGGGAGGCCATGCCTCTGAGCCGAAGCAGAGAGGGGTGACCAAGGCGGTGGTGCCAGAGGAGGGTCTCGTGAGACAGACGACGACATGAACAGGGGGCAGACTCAGGACCAGACCTGGACGCTGCAGCAAACACCTGACCAGACGAAGGGACCCTACCAGATTCAGCACCTGGAGGAGAAGCAGTGGTCAGTGTGTACAGGCTCGACCCTGGCTGACGTGTAAACGTAGCCAGGTGGCGACCTGTGCTAGCCTCTGTGCAGTGCGTCACCCGCTGGCGTGCAGGAGTGAACTGGTGGACACCCGCATCCTGTAGGTCAGCACCACTCACCAGGTTCGTAGAGAACGAGGGGAGGTAGAGACCAGACAGGGTGCCAGAGGGAGCCGCCGGACACGGAAGGACTGTGGAGAAGCGAGACAGGACAGGACCCCCAGAGGGGTCAGCCAGAGACACCGCAACCGGCCGACTAAGCGGCGTGAGTGTGGTGCGGTCCTGAAAGAAGGAGCGAGACGCCCCAGAGTCAAGGGTGAAGGTGTGGGAGGTTGAAGCCGACGTAGTACCTGAGAGCGCAGACTCACTAGTACCTGAGAGTGCAGACTCACCAGTACCTGAGAGCACAGACGCACTGGCACCTAGAGCAGTAGCCTCACTACCACCTAGAGCAGTAGTACCAATGCCCGGGTCGGGCGGGAAACACCGGTAAAAGTCACCCTCATCACTAGTATTCACAGCATACATGGCAGCA